GCGCAGACGGCGGGTGACTCACCGGCTCTCAGCGGCGCGCCCGGTCTCCGCCTCTGCGCTCGCCCTCGCAGGACCGCGGGCCGGGGCCAACAGAGCCGCGTCTGCCGCGCTGGCCGGGTCGCTCGGCGTCCGGGAGAACTCCACCTCCCGGGATGCCTTTCGCGCCCCGAGGCACGCCGGGACTCGGCGGACTCCCGGGCAGAGACTGGGGGACCGGAGCCGCTTTGCGTGTCGGGAGTGGTAGTTTGTGTAATATCGCGAGCTTTGTTGTCGTTGAGGGCTTTATCTAACAGAATTCGAAAAGCACGTTAATTCTCCTGGACTTGATGGTTAAGAGCTTTGGCTTTGAACTTAAGCGTGAAAGCCCCGTTTTCTTAGTTATTTATTGTGTGTCTTTTCTCTGAGAATTTTTCTATCTTGTAAAGTGTGGATAAATAACATTTGATAAGACTGTGTGAGGATTTAATGATGTAAACTGTGTGGGACAATTTGATTTGTATTTTTTGACTAGAATAAAAATTATTACACTCCGTTTATAGTCAATAATTGTTGGATTTTCTTTTAGAATTCGTGAATAATGAGGCACCAAGTAAAGGAAACTATGAATCTTTAAAAAAAAAACAAAAAACAGATTTTGTAAAGAACTTCCTGTTTTACATTTTAAAAAAAATCTTTCAAACGGTTCTGAAGAGTATTAGCAATATTTTCAATATTAAATGATACCTGTAGGTTCGTTAGTTGTATTAGATGACCTCGCTGAGGTCCTAGATAAAGGTATTCATGGATGGCTTCAAGTATGCAAATCAGGCATCTAACCGTAGATGACTTGGTGCTCTCACCAAATCAGCATTTCCTTTTTGTGGAGCAAGAGTATTTTCACTCAGTGTAAATATGAGTGTTTTCAGGTCATCGTATACAGCCTCTCTCACTGCCATTCAACACATTAATTGAGGATTCTGCAATTGCCTTTATTAAGTAGTTTTAGGAAGAATTTTAAATAAAAATACTTCAACAAGCATGATTTGTATTATACACAAGTACATGACTCTCAGAATTCAGCATTCATACATGCCCTGACATTTATTGAAAATTAATATAGTATAGTCTATGCATTACAAAAGTCTTTTATATAATGTACTGATCAGCATTGTTAGTTAAATCATCAAGAAAACCAAATATTAAAGATTGATTTTTAAAAGATAATATTTATTTAAAACCAATGACTGCTCCTATTGCTAGTTTGTTCTAAGTTACCATAACCTAATGAAGAAAATTGTCACTATTACATGCATTTGTGAATAACACATAACAAGAGAATAACTCAAATTGTTTTTCTCTTCTTACCAGCTGAAGAGCGTCTACTGGAAATACTCCATGGTAGAGATATTAAACTGAGACATACTTTGTGCTCCAAAATCTTCTCTGTACATAAAGGGAGTTGTTGGATATCCCTTGGATACACCAGGGAGAATTGTCAGCCACTATCAGTAACACTGATTGTTTTGTCACCTGTACTGAACACCAACTGTAGGAAAGGCCTTCTCCCCCCCTACTCCGAGACAGAATCTTGCTCTGTTGCCCAGTGACATAATCATAGTTCATGGCAGCCTCAAACTCCTGAGCCCAAGTGATCTACATCAGCTTCCTAAGGTGCTAGGACTAGAGGCATGTGCCCCCATGCACAGTTAATTTTTTTTTTTTTTTTTTTTTTTTGAGACAGAGGCTCATTCTGTCACCCAGGCTAGAGTGCAGTGGCACAATCATGGCTCATGATGTCCTGGGCTCAAGCAACCCTCCCACCTAGCCTCTGAGTAGCTGGAACTACAGACATGCACCATCACGCCTAGATGATTTATGTATTTTTTTGTAGAGTTGAGGTCTCACTATGTTGCCCAGGCTGGTCTCAAACTCCTGGGCTCAAGTAGTCCTCTTTTCTCGGTCTTCCAATGTGCTAGGATTACAGGTAGGAACCACTGTGTCCAGCCTCCAGCTAATTTCAAAAACTTTTTTTAGAAATGGCTTTTAGTGACACCAAACCTGGTTTGAAACATCTGGCCTCAAGTGATCCTTTCCCCTCAGCTGCCCAAGTCACTGGGATTATTGGTGTGAGCCACTGCACCCAGCCATTGGGAACTGAATTTTAAATTCTAAATGCAATTCAATGAGTAAAGAAATATTTTCGACAAGTGGTGTTGGAACAACTGGATCAGAATTAAGACAAAAAACTAAACTTCACCCCTTCCTTATATCAGAAACAAAAATTAATTTGTCTCTTAGTACTAAAAGGAAAAGTAAAAACGTAAAGCTTCTAAAAGAAAACATAGAAGACTATGCATAACTTTGGAGTTGGCAAAGATTTCTTGGGACACAAAAAGATACTAAAAAAGAAAGAAGACAAACCGAATTTCAACAAATTACAAGATTATGCTCATTAAAAGGCTATGAAAACTAAAAAGGTAAGTCAAAATACTAAAAGGTAAGGAGAAAATACTGGCAATACGTATACCCAGTGGCCAGTACAACATATGAAAAGATGCTCAATGTCATTCACTGTGAAGTGAATGCAAATTAAAATCACAGTGGGAAAACAACAAATACCCATAGACTGGCTAAACTTAAAAAGATGAATGGTAAAGACACGGATCCATTGGAACTCATATATTAACTCATTCATGATCGCTGACGTGAATTCACGTCATTCCAAATTCTGTTTCTGGTTGCCGCAGATGTGAAATTATGTCTTTGCAAGTTCTGTTTTTGAATGCTGCAATGTTATGTGTATGTTATTACATTTTACTTGAAAATGAATAGTGAGGCAAGGAGAGAGAAAGTTAATTGAGATAATTACCTGATATCGACTGCACAATGATTTACATAGTTGGTAAAAATTGCAAGTTGATCATTATTTTGTTGTGACTAGTGTTGTATACTAGTACTTTGATATTTCAGGGCTTTCATACTTCAACATTAAAAATAATTTACCATAATTATGGAAAATGAAGTATATGCTGATGAGATTTCCAAGGTTGAAGGTAAATCCAGTGAACTTATTAGTGGTAGTGAGACAGATAGTGATGTAATGATGCAATGTAAATGAAGAAATGTACATATATATATATACACACAATTTATATAATATGTATTTAGTTTCTAATCTGAATGAAAATACAAAGTACAGAATGCTAGTTAGAGTGGTATCTGAGGCAAATACCAGATATGACTGCAACATTCAGCTGTATTGTGAAAAAGGTGACAATTTAGAAAAGACCATTTTGCTTGTGCTTAATGACAGAAGTTTTCAGCAACCAGCTTCTTATTTTCACCTGCTCTCAGTATTAGGATTGTGAAAAATTTGCTGATCGTGAATATGTTGATAATAGAAGTATAAATTATTATATCCACAATAGAAAACTCTTTGGTAGTTTCTTTTAATGTTAAGCACCAAGTAATTTCACTCCTAGGAAATTGCCCAAGGGAAATGAAAACATATCTACAAAACGCTGTATAAGAATTTTCATAATAGCTTTACACATGGTATACAAAACATGAAAATAATCCAAGTGTACCTCAACATGGGAATGGAAAGAAATTGCAATATATATATTGCAATAGTATTACACTACTCAGAATAAATACAATTATATATATTATGTGCATATATAATATACACATATGTGTATATTATATATGCACATAATATATATAATTGTATTTATTTTGCAAACAACTTCTGATACATGCAATAATATAGATGATTTTCATATATTTTAATGTTGAGTAACACAAGCCAAATACACAAGGGTACATACTGTATGAACATTTGTGTGAAGTTCCAGAACAATTAAAATAAGATTTTGTGAATAAAAATCACAATAGTGCCTACCATTCTTGAATGGGAAGAAGGGGTGTATGGCAGATTGCTAGACTGACTGGAAAGGAACATGAGAAAAGGGTAATGCAAATGTTTTCTTCTTGATTAACTGGTGGTTACATGGGTGATTGCAATTGCCAAATTCAATTAACCATTCTCTTCAGATGCATGCATTTTCCGTACTGTAAGTTATATATCCTTTCAGGAGAAGTTACTTCATAATTGCTGGCACTAAACAAAATTGCAGAATTTTTTTTTGCCAGAAAATCATCATGAAGATAGTTCTGTTACAAAGCAAGGTTCTTCTCATATAGCGATAGCCTGTTAAATTAAGTTTGGCCTAGAGCTACCTGCTTACATATTTTAAGGTAAGCCTAGAGGTTTCTCTGATACCTTTTATGTAGTGAAATATAACCTAGCTGGATATGTAAACAAACTATACCCCACTCGTGCCAATCACTGAGGTTTGGCCAATCAAGAAGCTGATTGTTCACATCAGTTTCAAATAAGGCAAATGCTGAACTACAACTATTCCAGCTGTTTCTGTACCTCACTTCTGTTTTCTATACTGTTTTGGCTTTCCTTTTTTTTGTCCGTAAATCTTCTTCCACTATATGCTTGAAATGGAGTCTACTCTGGTTTGGGGAGCTGCCCAATTAGTGAACCATTCTTTGTTCAGTTAAACTGTTTAAGTTGTCTTTGGTTTGTCTGTCAACAAATGGTGTCAGAAGTGAGATCTAAAGCAAAATTTTTAGTGACTCCCCAAGAACCCTGAGTGACCAAGCAAGGTACCTGCCAAGCCCATTGTGTACATTGCTCCCCAACAGCAACTGGAGATCATTGGTAAGTTCTCTCTCAGATTCAGCAGCTTTACAGATTTGTGTTTTAGGCTATCAGAGTTTGTTTGAACAAACATCTGATACAAACTGGGTTTGGAAGTCAGAAACCGGACTAGCTCCAGATTTGGACTGGATCCAATAATTAACTGGCCTGGGTCTAGTTAGAAGCCTCTTGGATTTACACAAAAGGAGGAGGCAATGTGATC